GTGAGCCCCGAACCTCTCCTCCCCGGGGCCGCGGAGCGGTTGGCCCCTGTGCGGCCCCAGGGGTAACGCCGCCGTTAAATCCTTAGCGGGCCTGCAAACGGCACGCTCCTGGGTGAGGTGTGTGGCTGAGGCCTGCCTGCCTGCTTCCTTTCCCTTGCCAGCCCTCCCCTGTCACGGTGCGTCTGTGATTAGCAGCATCTGCTGGGCTCCTGCCAGAGACACAGGGGCTGTGAGTGAAGACTCTGCCCGTCCTGTGGCGTGGGCGGGACAGGAGTTAGAGCTGGGTGGCAAACGACCCTTGGAAATGTAACTTCAAACCTGCGTGGGCTGCTTGTCCCAGTTGTGTGTGACAGTGAATGGCAAGGCTGCTAAGACTGCCCTTGAGCTCATACAGCTCATCTGGCAACAGCTGTGTGATCACTCTGTGTGTGGAAGCTCCTGGTCCTTCTGGGGATGTTAATGCTGCTTGTGAATTGCCGTGTGCAGGATATGAACAGGCAGGTGGTGAAGACGGACTGTGCCACGGCTCGAATTCCTGAGCTGGACTTTGAGATCCCTGCGTTCACCCAGAAGGGAGGTGGGTATGCGGTTGGCGCTCACTGGTGTACCTGGAGGCGTGTGGTGGTGCCCTGGCTGGGGCTTTGCTATGGTGGCTGCCTGGAGACTCCACAGTGGTATGGGGGGACAAGTTTGGTGGCATAAGCAGCTGCATTGCTCCCTGCGGTGCCCGTGACATCTTGCTGCCAGTGTCAACTAGCATGGCTGAATCTGCAGTTGGAGAGAGCTGTGGTGGCTTGGCTCAGAGCCCGTCTTCCTAATGCCTTTGTCATCTAGGGGTTGTGGTGTCTGTCTTCTGCCAAGCGTGTAAGGTTTCTGGAAGGAGAGAGCGCTGTCAAAGCAGGAACAGGACCAGAAATGGGAGGGCAGACAAACAGCACCTCTTGAGGACTTGGCTTTCTACCTGTTGGATTGAATAAGCCTGAAATGGCTAATCTGCAGAGGCTGCCAAGGATCAGCATGAGCTGGTGGGATCAGTAGCGCTGCTGTAGTGTACTTAATGCTGCTGTCGCTTCTGGTTTCTTTCCCTCTCAAGTTCTCACCACCATCGAAGGGATAATTGACAGAGCTGTAGCAGGCCTGGAGCAGGACCAGCCCGTTCGCAGGGTAAGATGCTGTGAAAAGGGAGCCTCTTAAGAGGCACTTGCGTGGCAAATTCTTGTTTTGTTAATCCTGTACCTATTCCTACTACACACCGTTGGGTACCTCAGTATTTTGGGATCTCTGGTTTGCGCTACTGACAGCGCTGTCTTAAATTCTGGCCTGTCCCAGACATCCGTCTCAAACGTCTCCTGTTTTGCAGGCAACGGATGAAGAGGTGGCAAGGAAAATAGATGAGTTCATTGGTAAACTAAAGCAGCTCAAAGAAGTACATTCCTCTTTTACCTTTGTAAGTGCTTGCAAGGGTACAGACCCTTCCTGTTGGGGCACGGGCTGGCTTCCTAGCGCTGCCTTTGGCTCTCTCCTCCTGTAGATCGTAGATGATCCTTCAGGGAACAGTTTTGTAGAGAATCCTCGTGCACCGCAGAAGGATGAAGCTCTTGTGGTTGCTCATTACAAGAGGACTCCCCAGCAGGCGGCCGTGCTGGGGCTCGCGGTAAGGTGGAGATTTTGTGCTCCCTTCCTGCTGGGCAGTGCCCTCCCCTGGCCAGCCAGCCTCTGCGCTTGGTCGGCCTGGGGCAGCTGGAGAGCTGTGGGGGAGCTGAGCCCTTCTGTCCCCTCCCTGCCTGGGAGACCGTGATCCGAGGAGCAGGTGCGGGTACGAGTTAACACTGGTTCTGGTCTCTGCTATTGCAGGCAGAGGAGGCAAACGAGACGCCAGCTGATTCTGCGGAGGACCTGAGGAGTGAGGTGAGTGACTCTGCAGTGTAACGGCTGCCATGCCCAGGCAACTCCGGCGTGCAGGACAGCTGCCCGGCTCGTCCTGCGACGTCTGAATGTGATAAAGTACGTGTGGCTGCTGAGGATGTGGTGCTGAGCGGCCTTCCTCCTGTGAGCATCACAGCTCTGTACTTGTCGTTCCTGGGATCTAGGTACTGCAGTTTAACACCAACTGCCCCGAGTGCAATGCTCCAGCTAACACCAATATGAAGCTAGTGCGTATCCTCTGAGTGGTGACACGGGTGCAGCTGCCATCTTCTGCTCGGGGCTGTGCAGAGGCTAGGGTGAGGGTGAGAGTTGCACTCTGGGCTGACCCAGACCTCTCCTGCTATGGCAGTAAGGCGTGAATAGTTTATTTCTAGCAGAGCCTGCGAGCGTGCGAGTCTGTCTCACTGCTGCTCCTGGCTTACAGGCATTACCTGTGATTTCCCAGGAAGATGCTATTAGTTGGAACAGTGCTGGAACTTGAGCCTGGATACGTATGTGTTTTCAACCATGGCTTGAAACCTCTCTCTGTGTGCTCCAAGGAATGGTGTGCTCTTTAGAGGGCAGAACTGGCAGGGCTGAGGCTGAGTTCTGTAGACAGGTCGCAGGCCCTGTCTTAGAGATTTTTCGTTTTTTTGATGACTTTTCCTTGACTGCCCGCTCCAGAAATCCCTCATTTCAAGGAAGTGATTATCATGGCCACCAACTGTGACTCCTGTGGGCACAGGACAAACGAGGTGAGCTGAAAAACTACTGACTTCTTTTCTGGGGAGTTTTCTCCTGTGCTGTCATGGGTAGATGTTTCTCAGACTCCCTGGTCTCTGCTCCACGCTCTTTCAAATTGTTGAGCAGATGCAGCTGGGAGGCTGGATTTATGGGGTGTTTTGTGAGGTACATTGCACTGGGCATAGAACTGCCTTGTTTCCAGAGCCCTTCTGGGTGGGGGCCAGATGATCCAATGGGCTCGGTAAAGGCTGACCTGTACAGCAAGGTTAGACTGGGTCTGCTTAATCTGCTGGAAGGCCCCAAGTTTCCTAAACGAGGGAGGGGAGGGAATTCTGTGACTTGAAGAGCTCCAGTCTCCTGAAAGAGGGTCATCTACCTCCGTGAGTTCCTTACGTCAAGGCAGTGTCTCCAACTCTGCAGTGGCCTCTGCACAGCAAGGTCTGAGCTGCTGGGGTAATCCACCTTTAAAGCATCGCAGACTGATGTAAGTACATACCTCTGGTCCTGGAAACTGACTGCCAGCGTGTTCCTAGGTTAAATCTGGAGGAGCGATAGAACCGCAAGGCACCAGGATTACCCTTCGGATTACAGACCCTTCGGACATGACTAGAGATGTCCTAAAGGTAACGTTTGCCTTCAGCTACCCGCTGTGGTTTGGGGGCTCCCGCCGGTGCGGGGAGCGCTGTGGCGGGACCGTCCCTCGGGAGCACGGAGGCCTTCCCGGGACTCAGGCGGCGCGCTCTGTTGCAGTCCGAGACGTGCAGCGTGGAGATTCCTGAGCTGGAGTTCGAGCTGGGGATGGGAGCGCTGGGGGGGAAATTCACCACGCTGGAAGGGCTGCTGAAAGACATCAAGGACCTGGTGAGTGGCTCTGTGCAGCTGAGTTCAGTGCTGCTGCTGTGTGTACTGTCTGCTCTGGCTCTTGCCTTCTGCTTGAAGGACAGTTCTTGATACCAGTGGAGCTAGGTGCCCTCTTGTCAGTACCTGGTCTACCTGTGGGGCACTGGGCTATGGGACCGGGTTTCTCATGCCCTGGCCAAGTGAGTGGATCTGCTCTTGCAGGTTGAGAGAAACCCCTTCAGCCTAGGGGACAGTTCTACTCCGAGCAAAATGGAAAAGTTACAGGAGTTCGGCAGGAAATTGCTTGAGGTAAGTGTCCTCTTACCTTGCAATCAGCTACCATGTGGTTTTCACCACTGTCACTGCTGTTATGAAGCAGGCTTAATGGAACTGCTTGGCAAATATCACTTTACCTTTTCTTTTTCAAAGTGCTGAAAGACTAGAGAGCCATAATGAGGTCACATGCTCTCTTTCTGCAGATAATAGAAGGGAAGACAAAGGCTCACTTTGTAATGGATGACCCTGCAGGCAACAGCTACCTTCAGGTATAGTATTGTGTACTTGAAAGATGAACTTCTGGAAGTCTTCTGAACAATTTGAGAGGACACATGCCAAGGAAAAAACTCACTCGGGCTGCCTTTCAGGGCCCTGATAGCGAGCGGGTTGAGAAGGGGGTTTTGGGACTGCGCGTCCTAATTTCTGCATGCCTTGCCCCACAAAGGGAAATTGTTGGTAAGCTTGTGGGAAGGAAGATGGAAGCAGTACCTGCTCTCTGGAATGAGAGCTTGGAAACTGGGCATCTCCTGGGTCGGTCTTGACCGAGTCGCACTGTCCTTGGGGGAGATGCACAAAATTTGTCTTCTGTGCAATGGTCTGGTTTAAACCTTGCCTGAAGCTCCTTGCCGCCGCTGAGCTTACCAAAGAGGTTGTAGTCAGTGCTAGCGCCTGAGACTTTCGAGAAGGCCGAAGCCGAAACGCCTTTTCTCTTGCAAACGGCAGAACGTGTACGCCCCGGAAGACGACCCGGAGCTGACGGTGGAGCGCTACGAGCGCACGTTTGAGCAGAACGAAGAGCTGGGCCTGAACGACATGAAGACGGAAGGCTACGAGGCGGCGGCGGCGTCGTCGGAGCGGTAGCGGCGCGCGCCCGAGCGCC